GAGGTTAGGCGTCGAGTTCTAGGTAAACAGGGGAAATCAATCGACGAAGTCGTGAAGCTACAAAGACTGAGATGGTTAGGACATGTGTTACGTATGCCAAGCCATCGCCTCCCTCGACGAGCAATGTTAGCGGATATAGGGTCAGGCTGGAAAAAAGCTAGCGGCGGTCAAACAAAAACTTGGCATCAGTCAATGAAATCCACAACAGTTGGTCTAAGCCACGTAGGAAGGTGTAGACTTCCAGGCTGGGGTCCTCGGGACGGTAAAAATCTATGGTTGGAAACAATTGGTGACATGGCTCAAAATCGTTCTCAGTGGCGCAGATGCATCCACTCCTTGTGACTTATGATCTCCAATGAAACTGTTTTGTTTTTCTTTATTACTCCTTTGTCTCACACCTCTGCTCACTGTTTCTATTATGCTTTTCTTGTACTTTCTTCTCTTGCTTCGCGTGCTACACGGAATGTGGCGACTTGAACTTCCGCACATTTGTGCAAAGTTCTATGTCGAAAACAGACAGACAGACAGACAGACATATACATCACCTTGGACTGTGAAGCGTCATCAAGTAGGAGGGTGGACATCGCATACTGAAACAGTTTCACTTATAATACTCTTCATTGGTGTATTCTATTGACTTGCAGGAGATCGAACTAGGGACTCTAATACATCATTTGAAAATATCAGCAACTAGTTGGAAGTCCAGCAGTTTATATTAGTATGCCTAGTTAATTTGTGGAATAACACAACTGTAATCCAATATTGTCAGTGCATCACTGTTTTTATACTCAAATTAATTCACATGTAAATCATGAGTGAGCATCAGAACCACATAAAGTCTATCTAGTCACTACTAAGCATTAGATTATTTATCTACATTAAATATAAGAAGGAAATACACAGAACGCAAAGTGGTTATAAGCAAAGATTGACAGAAACCATTGAACTCTTAAAAATCAAGCAAACAATTGAGTCATTTCAGCTTTAAACACTTCCACGTTAGACTTTCCAAAGTGGTCAGAGGAATCATACAAATACAATGTGAAGACAATTTTCTCACACATAGCATCTAGTAATTATCTTATTTTTATCACTAATAAGCGTCGAGTTCTAGGTAAACAGGGGAAATCAATCGACGAAGTCGTGAAGCTACAAAGACTGAGATGGTTAGGACATGTGTTACGTATGCCAAGTCATCGCCTCCCTCGACGAGCTATGTTAGCGGATATAGGGTCAGGCTGGAAAAAAGCTAGCGGCGGTCAAACAAAAACTTGGCATCAGTCAATGAAATCCACAACAGTTGGTCTTAGCCACGTAGGAAGGTGTAGACTTCCAGGCTGGGGTCCTCGGGACGGTAAAAATCTATGGTTGGAAACAATTGGTGACATGGCTCAAAATCGTTCTCAGTGGCGCAGATGCATCCACTCCCTGTGACTTATGATCTCCAATGAAACTGTTTTGTTCTTCGTTATTACTCCTCCTTTGTCTCACACCTCTGCTCACTGTTTGTATTATGCTTTTCTTGTACTTTCTTCTCTTGCTTCGCGTGCTACACGGAATGTGGCGACTTGAACTTCCGCACATTTGTGCAAAGTTCTATGTCGAAAACAGACAGACAGGCCCCTCTAACGATCTACCATGCATAACCAGCAATGTTATGCGTCACATCACAACCTCAGGACAACCCATGACATCCAAAGCACGAAGACTTGCTCCTGACGAAATAAGACTGGCGAGAAATCAGTCCGACTATGTGTTCACTCTTGGCATCATTTGGCCATCGAATAGCCCATGGGCATCCCTACTCCATATGGTACCAAAAAAAATAGCAACGATTGGCAACCCATCGGTGATTACCGGCGAGTAAACGTCAAAACGACTCCTGATTGCTATCCATTGCTTCACATATATGACTTAACGGAAACACTATCTGGTGCAACTATTTTTTCGAAAATAGACTTGGTTAAAGGATACAACCAAATCCCGTTGGTACCAGATGACATTCTGAAAACGGCTATCATTACGCCTTTCGGAATGTCCGAATTTCTACGTATGCCATTCGGCCTCCGGAATGCAGCACAAACATTCCAACGATTCATCGACGAAGTATTTAGCGGTCTTGACTTCATATATGCATACTTAGACGACTGTTTCAAACAAGGAAAATCACCTTAGGCACTTGGACTTGGCATTCGAAAGGTTGCGCCGACACGGTGTTACCGTTAATATTCAGAAGCGTCAGGTAGGCCTTGAATCACTAGACTTTCTCGGCCATACCGTTGACTGAAAGGGTATCCGCCCACTGGCAAGTAAAGTTGAGGCAATTCTGAACTTTCCGGAGCCAAATACAGTGAAAAATCTTCGCATTTTAATGGTCTTGTAAGTCATTACCCATTGGGCCATATCGTTAACATTGTCACTGATAGGCACTTGATGTCATGCAAGGAACTTTGTCAGACTCTGAGCATCCATTCTACCCGCAGCTCCAACCTTGTGTCTCCTCAGGTAAAACAAGAAGTCTTTTCAGAAGAATTTATGCACGCACGTCTAAGTATAAAAATTCCACTATCCCATATTTAGCACGTACTTTATGTGATGAAAATAGTGTTAGGCATGAACTAACTAGCCTTCTTTGCACTACTAAATAAACCATTTCCTCCAGCCTTACAGCATCAAACTTTATTGTTATTGCATTTCTTATATTTATAATCCTCTCAATTTTTTGTTTTTGTTTATTTTTTTCATAAGTGTGAACATAATTTAAGATGTGTTATAGCTGTTAATTTTGTATTTCCCCTCACCATACTATATCAACATAACATTAGATCCAATAATCTATAACATGCTAAAGTTTCCAAACTGAATCGACGATACTGTTTGAAACAAACTCACTGTTATTATTATATTTAATAATCTGAATTCGTGCTCCGAATATTTTTGACTTTATATCGCAAATGTGGACAAATTCCTCTGGTTACTTTTGTTTTAATTTTTAATTTTATTTATATTTTAAGTAAATTAGATGCAATATTGTGACAAATGCTGTGAATTCGATTCTGTATTGTAACCAAAAACAGTGTTTACAATATAGAATCGAATTCACAGCATTTGTCACAATATTGCATCTGACTTGCGAATCGCCGCTGCAATCGGAATAGTTGACAGTCAGTGATTCCGTTGTTCACTTCCATCATCTTCGTCTGGTCATCCTTTAATAAGAATAGAACAGTTCGCGGAGATGCGAGCAAGAGGACTCCATTATGGATAAGATTTTATTTTGATAAAGCACACAGTGTTGTACAGTAATATTAACTGATGACGTTTCGAGCACAAACTATTGCTTGTAATCATATCAACTTGGTATGAGCAATGATATGATATGATTATGAGCAATAGTTTGTGCTCGAAACATCATCAGTTAATATTACTGTCCAACACTGTGTGATTTATCAAAATAAAATCTTATCCATAATGAAGTTATATTCTGCCACAGTGCCCAAGTTTTATACTTATATCAGTAGTACATAGGGAGCAAGAGACATAATAAATTATGTGATAGTGGTCAGATAGGGGAAAGAAATAATTGCATAATAATTAATTCATAAGGTCTTAATTAACTTGTCTTCTGTCGTTGAAGAAGTATAAAAATACTTAGAGTCGTACCATTGATGGCTTCCGCTACGAAATACTTCTGTATTTAGTAGAGTTGCATAGTCGTTAGGAAATCGAAATCCTTAAGATGAGATACTGTTGAATGTGAGAAATTCTGTGCAAATCAGTAAGTATTCTTGATTTGGAGATATAAGGTTTTGCGATTGCGAGAAGTAGAATAACTCAGTTGAAGTATTTCTTTTCTGTATTTCTCGAAATTAAAAGTAGTTGTTTTTCGTACATCTTTAGAGATCCTGGAGACATCCTTGTTTGACTTATATTAAAGGGACCACTTATGCAATATTTATGAAAAGGATTGATATTGCAAACATTGACTGGCCATTGGGTATTAACAGTGTTATATATATTGTTATTAATTATACTGTCTGAATTCCTAGGGGACATCAGTTCCTTTGAGTTCGCAGATACGCCTTGCTAACTGGCGGGCACGAAATTCTGTTCCAAGATTTCTCAATGACTATCATCAATCACTTAACATCAATGTAGAGCGCACCCTTTATTCTGAACTGTGTTCATATAATGTACAGAATTTTCAGTGGAGTGCACTGCATGATATTTTCTCTTCGTCCAGGATCTTTAAATAAAAGATTTGATTCACAGCAGGTCGTGTAACACAGTTATATCTGGTCGGAACTGTGAACCAATCCATCATTACGATATCTTTTTTTTTCTTTCGGCAAATACACGACATTTGGCTGAATACTAATTGTAAACAATTCAGGAGTACATTTTGTGAACTAAGGACACATCTCAGAAACAATCATCTCATGTATTGGGATAAGTAAGCTGCCATCCAGGATAATGCTTTTTCTCATGTTTAGCAGTAACCTGTAAATCCGTAGGTTGTAAATGTTTTAAATACTTGCCAGAATAAATAATACCGTTAGGGTTTATATCCAATTAGATTTAAACACTGAACAAGAGAAATTATATGCAATATTTTGATGGAATTTTTCGGTGACGCAAGTTTTAAGCAGCCCTCCGACGATAACTACATTGTAGCACCAACACCGAAGACTAGACGCATGACATTAGTGATTCCCTAGTGACCCATCTATGTATACATTATAGGCCTACTGGAGGTCAGCCGTCACCCCGAATATCTTAGTGGGTAACAGAGTATCGAATTTCAGAAGGGGGGGGCATCAGTTCCCTCACGGTTGCAGATATGCCTTGCTGATGAGTGCTAAGAAGCCCGAAACCAGGGTCGAGGAAGGATTTCTGCTGATTGTCTCCAACTATGTATTATCATTATGATTATGTTGAAGGCAATACTTGTGTTTAATACTAACGGCATTTTAAATAAATACACCTCTTTTCGTTTGTAGGTGTCTACACTGTCAACAAAAAATTACCAGTCAATTGTTGATCGTTTAAAAGAATTACTGAAACGCGCAAAACGTTCATGCATCACATTAGTTGTTGGTCGATTGAATGCAGCAAAATTAGCTAATTTACCTGAACTACAATTATTAGTATTAGTTGCATGTCCTGAGATTAGTTTATTGAATTCACGCGAATTTCATATACCAATTATTACACCATTTGAAATGGAGTGTGCTTTACGATCGTGTTGTACACATGAACAATCATCATTTGACCAGTTAGATAATCGTATGTGGACAGAAGAGAAATTTTGGGTGGATTTTTGTGATCTCTTACCAGGTAATAAATTTTAGCAAATTTGTATGCGTCATCCATTGAACATTGAATTTCTTTATACTTTCTTATTGACATTTGCTCTGTTTTTTATGTTTGCAAGATGTTAAGTATGACTGACTAAGTGAGTTTTAATGTAAGCCTTTGCACAGAAATAGATAGAGCAGTTCAACTTGCCATACTCCATGTAGCACACAAAGGTAGACGAGAAAAAGAGAAATTCGAAGGAACTATAATGGGGGGGGGAATGTACAGAAGAGAGGTCTGAAACACGGAAAAACGTGAAGACCTGGGAAATCACAAAAACTGTTTGCATCTCCGCCACTGATAACAATTTTGAGGCATATCACCAACAGTCTTAAGCTATTGTTTCTTAATATCTTCAGTAATCCAGTCAGTTAGTCTGCGTCTCCCTATGTGACTTAAACCAACAGTCAAAGTTTTCATGGATTGATATCAGATTTTTGGCTTGACCACACCTAACCCCTTTTCAACCTAATTGTATATTTGCTAAGATTGCTATTCGAGGAAGGCGGTAGCTCAGCGTGAGTAACTTATGTCCTCTTAATCTATATAACTTCACAACTTCGTCCATTGACTTTTCCTCCTTATCAAACGCTCAACGTCCCTCAATATTGATCAGCATATTATATTACTTAACATGGAAAATAGGATGCAAACATCTGTTGTCCAAGAAATGTTAAAAATGGGCTTACTTTATTTGATATATGAAGTAACATATTCGCTGGGTCACTTAATTTTTAATTTTTTATACCTTTAATAATGTACACTCCTGGTGAAACCTACTAGATACAAACTTCTAGACAACATCCTGAAGTCGTTTAACAAGTGCCACCCCGCAATTCAGTTCACGCTGGAGAAAGAGTCCAACTCTAAAATATCCTTTCTTGACATCCAACTAACAAGACGAGAACACGATGGAACACTGAAAAGATCTATCTACAGAAAGTCAACATGGAACGGACAGCTTATTAACTTCCACAGTTGGGTACCCCTATACACCAAACGGAACCTGATCCGTTCACTTAGCAACAGAGTTCGCAGAATTTGTACCCCGGACACCGTAGAAGATGAACTGGACAATCTCAAGAGAATCCTCGTCGAGAATTGTTACCCAGAACGATTTATTGCAAAATCTATGAATCCTAGGCCACAAAAGCCGCCCATGCATAGCGTCCCGAAGAAACCGCTCTACATGAACCTTCAATTCAATGGAGATATATCTGCGGAAACACTAAAAAATCGACTGTGGCACTCACTCAAGAAGACCTTCTTCGCAGCTGAACTACGACTAACTTTCTCCACAAAACCCATGATTCATGTGAACGTGAAAAATAAGCTACCACTGTTGGCCTCATCAATGTGTATCTACCAATTCACCTGCTCGTGTGGAGCCAGGTATGTCGGCCGTACCCAGCGTTCGCTTTCCAAGCGTATCACCGAACACTTACCAGCATGGTTTTACAAAGGAGAAAAACGATGTCCCCGCAGCTCCATCTTAGAACATCTGATAGAATCCGGACACCAAGCTGCACCCCAAACAAACTTCAAAGTAGTCTACAGAGTAAGAAGTAGTCTTCCAAAAGGTGTACGAATCAGACTTCTTCAAACTGCAGAAGCAATGGCGATTCACTTGCTAAGCCCTGAACTCTGCATACAGAAGAAGTTCGTTCAATCACTACACTTACAATGGACTTAATCTACCTCATTACCTGAAAGGTAAATTCTACCTAATTTTTTCTTTTTTTCTGTCTCTTCATTGGTATTATTCTGTCTTCTTAATTGTAATATTTTGCATTTTCAACTTTCTTGTTCTCTACCCCCACCCGATTTAATTTCTACACCTCACTACCACTTTAATTGACCTGACCAACGCTCAATTTCTAGTCATTTATGTTACGTCATCCAACTTAATTGCTCAATTTCATTTCTAATCTAAATTGCATTATTATCTACCCCACTTCTACTTAGTCTCTACCTGTAATTACCTCTGTTGCTAACCTGACCTAAGTTAAAACATTTTAGTCAATTGTATTACGTCATCTAACTTACTAACTCAATCTTACTTTAGTTGCTGTCCAATTAACCTTGTTTCTATGTTAGATCATTCTTTTATTACCTGATCAATTATCTAATTTTGACAAACCTCATTTACACACACACACACACTCAAATAATTATATATAAATGCGATTGTACAGCTATGTGAATGAATTCGCCGAAAAGAGTCTCTTCGCTGAACGTCTTCTCTTTCTCTAACCTTGTGAAACTTGGCCTCTCCGAACTGAGGATGACCGACGTCTCTGCATATTCGATCTTCGCTGCCTCCGTAGGATCATCTGATTCAATTGTGTAAGTAATTCTGAGGCCCGGCCGCGTGTGTTCGGACACGGTGTAGGTCATTAGTCATTGAGTGTAGTCATTCTGAAACACCAGCTTCAATGGCTTAAATAGATATGTGCTACTAATGTCATTCCAGAAGCTCTCGTACTGATCTCTGTTTGGTAGCCCTGGGGCTGGGTGGGAGAAGCGGGGCCTGTGACGTAGCGCCGTGAATGAAGGATGCTTGTATCAGGTTAGCACGACTTGGTATATCACGACCCCCTCCCTGGCTGGGGTCCGTGACATAGTTTGAATCGATGTCTCAAAACGTTATCCGACATGGCGAAGAATTGACATCAGGGACGGACATATTACAACTTCTTTCTTTCTCCCTTTCTGAAATTTACATGAAGTGGTGAATGTTGACTGATCTTGACAAGTATGCTTGTTAGCTTTCTGGATAGCGTCCTTCATTCATTCGGTCCCTATTTTCCTTTTATATTGTTTTTTTTGTGGAGCCATAATGTATCGAATTTGTGTTTTATATAAACAGATTAAAGTAATCATCACCATCGTCTTATCTTTGCATCATTATAGTACAACTCTACAACCAATTACAGATTCGTGTACTGGCATCAGTATGATCTAAGAATATTATCAGAATGTTCATATCTTGAAAGGAGAAATTCAAGTCGAATGCATCACTCATTTAATAAAGTTCGACTGCGTTAGCTAGCTGACGGCATATATCGTATCATCAAATTATTGCAGATTTTGTTAAGAAAAATTATCATGTGTGCATTAGTATCTTTATTTCTCTTACTTTCTTTTTTCAGGTGGTCGAGCTTATGTACCTATAGAGGATGTAGTCTCGGAGGTGACTGAGTCATTTGCAGATGTATCATTGGTGAATGGACACAGTCGACTAGTCCCATCGAATGTACTTGAAGATGATAATATAGAATCTCAGTCATTGGTTGTTCGGACTCCAGGCGAGTTAATTGAATCGGGCTGTTGGAATCTAGGTTCGAATAAGGTTACTCGAACATGGTATGGTCTGAATCCAGAGATTGGTCAAACGCCAGTGGCACAAGTGAAAGATGGTCGTAAAGGCCTACCAACACAATATACACATGAAAATTCAACTAATGCACCCAACTGATTTTTCTTCTTTTTTTCTGTCGTCAGATGGGCTTTCAATGTACATATTCTAGTGTTCTACTGTCTACAATACTATTACATAGATTTTTAATAAATCCTTCATCCTTGTTCTGTGTTTAATTAGTACATTGTATGAATTCAGTTTTTCAAGATGGATTTCAAACAGATCTCAATTAGTAAACCAATAAAAGCCAGGGAGTACTCGATAGTTGTTTCTTCCTAATCTAAGACTTCGTCAGTATGCAGCCAAAGATGCACGGGAAATCGAACTCATTGCCTCAGTGACTGAGCAGTCAACGGGCTGGGCTCGTAACCTGAAGGTCTGGGATTCGATTCCCAGTGGAGTCGTGGGTGCGTGCTCTGAAGAGTCCCAAACTAGAAAGAACCATCTGTCTAGTACGCTGTGATTTTCAATGGTTCTTTAAATGACGTCATTTCGTGGTCGAGCTTTAAATCAGTCAAATTCGTGCAAACCAACAGTTGGAGGTTATGTTTCATCGTCATAATTAACAAGTTGGAGTTGTTAAAAGTCTCTTGTATCATCAGTCATAAAGAATTTTTAATGCAGCTTTGAGGAAGCCTAAGGCATATTAAAAAATACGTCAAGATAATGTTTGTGTTATACTATTAATTGGGAGGTTGGATTATGTGGAGTGGATAAGTATGCAATTCAGTAACTACACGAGTTTCTATGTTCTACACAAAGAGTTCCATGTTATGTATGGGGTCTAATGATACTACGTGTTTGTTGAAACATGTGTGACTTAACTGATCTAATCCATATCAGATCTCATTGTAGTATGATTTGTTTTATGAATATATTCCTTAGGAGTATCTGCAAACTTGATTGTTATTGGTGTACTTTAACAAGTTATGCTACTTCTGACTGATGATATCACATTTTTGAAGTACTTTTTGTCAGCACTATATACAGTCAGTCATCTTTAATCAATGAAGCCTCATTTTCTGATCGAATAAGATACTTTCCTTACTGGATATCTTAAGTCTAACATCAAGTGGTTTCACTAGAGTTGATCAAAACTCAATTTACTAGGTTTGGTGTCACTTCACAAATAAGGAAAGTGATCTTTGTATTTCACCCTCTATGCAATTTTCGGCCATCATCGTGGGGTGTACAGTAGGTATTTAGAAAAAAAACTGTTGGAACACAGAAGTCTTTGTTTCACTCTTCAACTTTATTTTGTTCACATATTCAAGTCGTATATCTTCAGTTTGTGAATTAACTACTGAATTCATGTAGAGTAGTAGGATACACAGTGACATCAGTTAAAGGGTCCTCTCAAGATCTGTCTTATTTCCTCACTCCCGAAAAGCACACAGCATAGAGCTTATATGAGAATAAAGGTGTTACTAAAGGTGAAAAAAAGTTGCCACTTCGGTTAGTAAAATTGAAATCTTGGATAGTTGCCCTTCGCAAAGTAACTTATTTTGTGGTGTATCAGCGTAGTGAGTAACCTTCTATCTTCACTAATGGGGAGTACACATTTTTTCTGTTCATCTCAATTAGTTCAATGTGCTACTGAAATAGTGAGTGAAAATCCTTCCAGTTTGGTGTAGAAACATGTAATTTATTGTGGTATCATTAATATTTACAGGCGTAGCAGCTAAATTGCTAGGATATTTACAAAAACGATTTTTTCACCTTTACAATTAAGCAGTGTTTTGGCTTTTTAATCGGCCTTAGTAACAGACTCACTGACCTGTGTCATTAGTGCATTTTTTCTCATATGGACAGAGAAAAGTTCGTTATCATCACAAATGGACATAAATCAAAGATAAAACTCAGAAAAACAAAAATTACTCAACAGTTATTCAACTCTAATTTAGAACTTTTCAGTGATACCCAGTCCAAGTCAAGCCCAAGACTGTCAGGTGTCGCTATTTGACCAGTGAATTAGTTAGAAGCGAATAGGTTATTTTCATTACTTCTTAATACTGAAAAGTACTAGGGGTCGGAAAATTTAAGTTGTGATATTTCAGTTGATTGTCTGCTTGAGGTTGTGGTGGAGTTGGTGCCCTGTTGGGTTGTTGGTGAGCTATCGTTAAGTCTTTTTGTGGCTTGGTGGAGACAGTTGCCAACCGTTTCCGTGTATCCACTGGTTTTCCAGCTGAGGTCGACGCATGTTGGAAGCTAATTTAAGTCCAGTCGGTTTTTCATGAATCAAGATTTATTAATCTTGATATCAAAAATATCCATTTTGTTCAGAAATTACTTGATAAGCCGGACCGATTCAGATCGTCGTGTCTTAATATGTTCCAACAAGGGTGTGTACTTCATTGATTTCATGATGACAACATTGTTAAGAAAGAAATGCTCAACCACTTGTTAACCTGCGTAAAGTGACCTTGATCAGTACTTAAAACAAACAGTAGTTGTGTTGTGAGAGCATCGGTGGCACAGTGGTTAGGATTCTCGCCGACTATGCACATGGTCCGAGGTTCGATCCCCTGCCGACGCACATCTGATATCTATGGTCGGCCTGCTACATTTGGGCTACCGATATCCATGCTGGAAATTCCATACTTGTACCAAAAATACAGTGTGGAATCAAGCTGTAAATCAAAAATATAAAAAATATAAATATCTGCAAGCCTAATTCGTAGACAACAATTTACGTCAATGTTTACATCCCTAATCGGGGTCATGAGAAAAGGCAAGAACAAGGCCTAACCTTGAGCAACTCAACAACCAATCACAACACACAGCGTGCGCAAATACGATTAGTAGATATATGGCTCAACTTTCTGAGAAACAGCCACAAGCAGTACAGGATAACCTTCAGCAGAAAACAAACAATCAGAAGACGTTGCTTCTCTGCTAAAATAACGAATAATAATGTACAGAAAAATCGATAAATATCTCTTGATTTCCTCAATAAAGGATGTGTTTCCTGGCCCTTGTCTTCTGTTTTTGCAGTTGAAGTAGAAAGTTTAGAGCTTTCGTGGAATAGTAAATAAAAGGTACTCCAAGGCTTTTGCTCTTTCAATTCACATTCGAAATAACATTAACAACAGCTTTCCTGCGACTAAAAGCTTGTAAACTGGTATTCATCCTCAGGATAATTCGAGTAAGTGTTTTGCATATTCAAAATCGGTGCTTTACAATACGTTATGTTAACCAGAGTAAGAGTAGATTACAAATAAATTCGACGTATATAAACTAGAACGTGGCATGGTCGTTAATCAAACCTATCTAGATAGAAGTGTACACAACTGAATTTGTTGATAACAGGGCTTTCAGTACATTTCTCGAGGAAGCTTTACTTCCTGGCCAAAGTCCATTAAACTGTCGAAATCATTAGTCGGTTACAGTATATCACACCGCTCAAGAATCGATTACAGCGCAATATATCCATCTATGCCTCATCTTATAAAATGTGAAAGTTTGGTGATACATAGTAGCTGTCAGTTTATGCGTAAGAATTAATTTGTGAAGGTGATTAGAAAGTAGGAAATCTTCTGAACACACAGGTTTGGCTTCTTCAGGTGAATTCCTATGGCTTCAGGTGTATTTGGAAGATGAACTCGTAAAGCAGAATGAAAGCAAGTAAGAATGCGATAAATAGTTTTAAATGCTATATTGATGTCAACTTTATGCTCACTGTCTTCAAGGTGTGCTAAAGCAGAGCTAGGAATAGGTCTTGTTTGTCCCTTGCTTAACGATTCCAAATACAATGATGAATCTGCCTAGTTGTACGCTCAATGTAGCCGGCTCCCCAGCTGCAGTCAAACTGGTAGAGAAGGTGAAATTATTTCTCGAAAGTAAAATAGGGATGGTAGTGAAATGACAACGTACCTCTGCTGCATTGAAAGCTCGTTAAACTGCACTCTTCAGGCGCTGTGTCACTTACTATTTCGTTGATGTTGCCACTGAGGAACTGCAGTTTTATGAACAATGATCATTTATACCCTTTAACTGTGTGAATTATCTTAGTCATTATCAAACCGCATTACATGTTGATATTGATTAATTATTGTTAACAAACATATCACCACTTGATTTGTAAATTGTGTATTATAATAAAAAATGTCATATATATTAGAGTAGAGATCGGGATCTAATTGAAAAGTAAATATCTCTTGGCTCAATCCTTTTGCTTTCTAAAAGTCTAAATGGGGATCTTTTCCTATTTCGAATTACTGCAATTATCAGTGCCTTTGGGTCTACAGCGGTAAATAAATTCATAAAATGAATATCCTGCAACCTTATCAACCTTCATTGTTTAAACTGAAGACAGGTGTTCAAGCACCTTCGTAATTTCGCCCACTGTAGTGTTATATTTACTTGTTTATACACAATCTCTAGTTAGCTGAGCGCTCATTATAGTACTGTTTCCGAAATGTTTTGTATTTTGCGCGAGCAGGGAGCTGGATCTCTTACGTGTGCTGACTACTCCTAATAAGCTTGTCAAGCTCAAACCAAAAGCCAATTAGGAGTTTTCATTGAAGTCAGATAGCTTTCTATTTAATTATTGGGACATATTCCTCTCGGTACTTGTACAACAAAAGTTAAAACTTATTTTCTCTGTGACTGAGAATCACAAACAGTTTGGCGTCTTCACTTTTATGAAAAGTCCACATCATGAGAAAAGCATAATAATTCATGAAAAAATACCTATCAGAATTCTAGGCCTTACTTCTTTTTGGTCTTTCCAATACTCCACGTCTTACACCTAGTAAAACCTCCACCAAATTAATCTGAATCATGTGAATTTTCGGTTGAGCGAAATGAAATGTTCAGGCTGATCAGCGTTGCAGCTGGTAAGTAGTATTCTTTCATCCATTATTGCTGTTATTCCTTTGACTTCCAAGTGGAACATAAGAGTTCAATAGCACCTCTCCGCCTTGTCCTGTTCTCCGCAGTCTTCTTTAGCCGGAGCCACGATTGCCCCTAGGCTCTCATTTCTCCTCACACGATCTCCTCCATGTCACCGGGCACCCTTAGTGCACCTTCCAGTATTTCAAGTTTTGTTTAAACGG